GTGGTGGTGGTGGTGGTGGTGGTGGTGGTGGTGGTGGTGGTGGTGGTCGTCGTCGTCGTCGTCGTCGTCGTCGTCGTCCCAGTTGCGCACAGAATAAATCGGACACAGCAGGTTGAATGAATCGGACACAGTGTCGATCGGACACAGTAGGAAACGGACACACGATGGTTGCAATCGGACACAGTGCGGATTGGACACAGTGCGGATCGGACACAGTGTCGATCGGACACAGTAGGAAACGGACATAGTGTCGATCGGACACAGTAGGAAACGGACACACGGTGGTTGCAATCGGACACAGTGCAGATCGGACACGGTGCCGATCGGACACGGTATCGATTGCACACGGTGCCCTAGGGGTGTAGGCGGGGGAGGCTCCGCCCCCCCTGCACCCCCTCTGTGCACCTGGTGGTGTGGGTTGGGTTGATGCGTAGAGCGGGGGGGGTTTCGCCCCCCCCCCCCCCCCCCCCCCCCCCCATGGACACGACTTCGGCGTGCCCGGTAGGCAATGTATTAAGTTGTCGTCGTCGTCGTGCGCTCGTCAGGATCTGTATTCACGTGCCTAAATTGTTTTATGGAATAGGTAAAACAATTATTTTTTAATAATGTTTCGCATAAAAATTTTAAATAAATTTGTATAATTTTCTCTTAAAAAACAATTATTAAAATGTATCCTATCATTTTTCAGGATTAGATGTACGTATATGTATAGAAAATGCAGTGTGACTGATTAGCCCCGGGGGGAGGACGCTTTAATCCCGGCATTTTTGAGATTTCAATTTTTGCACCGTTGTCATTTTTGCTCCATACCGGTTAAACAAAGCGACGTAGATAAAAATTTCCTAAATAAATTTTGTAGTTAAAGGTTCACTCTTTACAGTGGTATACAATATTTAACTTAAATTATTTATTTTGTTATTAAAAATCGGCACCGAAAAAATCTAGACTGTTTAGCCCCGGTCTCCCCTATAGATATCCGATATACATATGCAAAATCAGATATCATATCTGACAAGGGGAAGCCGCGTACTTGAGGTCACCGAATTGAAAAACGTTTTTACAAAGTATAGTACTCTACCAGAAGTAAATTGTTGGTTGCAATAACTTTATTTTACACAAATAAACAGTTATTGCATGAAAAAATTAAAAAAAGTGCAGGGTCAGAAATTAAACTCGGGTCGACAACGTAGTAATCGTGCACTTACTTTTTTTTTCTTGGAAATGGCTGAGCGTTGCGCTCTATCCCTTGCTTAAGTACTCTTTTAGTAAAGTACTGTGCTATGTAAAAACGTTTTTCAATTCGGTGACTCCAAGTATGCGGCTTCCCCTTGTGAGATAAAATTTTCATGGCTTTTTATAATCTTGGAGATGTCTCTGAGATATTCTCATGATATCTTGCGCAATCAGATATTCCATCATTCAGATATATTCTAGATATCTTGGTGATATATTTTGCTGTGTGGGATACTATATGCGGCTTTCGGAAACGGAACGCTATTTACAACAAAGATATAATACGCGGATAATACTCGAAATACGGTGTGATACGTTTTCTATTTACAGGTTTTATAACACGCGAATTTCGGAACAGAACGCTATGAACAAGTGTCGCGGGATACGCGAGCGGTGATTGGCGGCCGCGCGGATTCGCGGAATGCGGCGCGGTGATACGTCGACGGTCGGCGCGGGAGCGTGGATTCGTGCGAGACGGTATGCGGGGATACGTGATTCAGGAAGCGGTACCGGGCGGCCAAGACTCTCGGCGAGCGTAGAGAGCAACTCTTTACCCTGCGTCGCGACGATCGGACAGGAAACTGGTCGGGATCGAATCGGCCTTCGAGATACATCACTCGACAGAGCCAGAGAGCGTCTCTCTACCTTAGGGCTTTATTCGGTTCGGAATTCGGGATCCAAGAGCAGCGGATGATCGGTCGGATCGGCTTGCTGTCTAACGGCAGAATCTCTCTTTGTCAAAAAGACGCTGGTTTATATACCCCTATGTCGCTACCAGGTGGCGGCGGGGGTAGCGGCGACGGCAATCGCGAGCGCTGGGATTGTTCGGTACGATCGGGTAAAGGCCCCGACGTCGCGATCGCGTTCGGTGGCGCTCGGCCGGGTTCGGCACCGCTCGATATTTCCGAGATGATTATCACGGTAGGCACGGTAAGTCCTTTCGGACTTTTCGGGTGCGGAATTTGACGATAGCACTTCGTGCTTTTCACCGCCCGGTGGGCGGCATCCGGCTAATGTTCGCCGGGAACGATGCGTTTTCGGGGCGCATCGTTACATTTATTTTCCAACCATAATAAACTGCGAGCCGACTAAATTGTCAGACTTGCAACACAGCTGTGGTACGAGTAGTAAAATCTCCTCCCTCCCCCCTAATTAAATCATTCCGATTTAATTTGATGCTAAGCATCTAAATAACTGTAAAAAAATTATTGTGAAAAGTATTACCTTAGCCATGGTTCGAACCTGGAACCTCTCTTATTCCGTGAAGGGTGTCGTACCAATTGAGACTAATTTTAACTGATGTTGGTGAAGTTGGCATATCATTTTCAAGCATCAAAAATAAAAGGGAGTTCTTGTCGCATGTAGTCAAGATCTATAGTTCCTGATACTTTTTAGTAATTCTTCTTCTTAGTCGTAGTTCGCTTCCGAACGTCGTGACTCCTCATGCAGTCCTGTGCACAATCTCTCTCCACGCTTCATGGTCCTCCGCCACGCGCATCACCTCCCCCAGTGGCATGTTTGTCCAGGTCTTCATCTGGTCAATGTAACGATTTGGGGAGCGTCTCCTTCGCCGCTTTTCATCGACTTTCCCCTGGACAACCAGCTTCTCCATGCCGTCTCGTCTGATAAGATGTCCGAAGAACCTCAGAATCTGCTTTTGAATGTTTGCGAGCAAGCAAGTGTTTGTGTTGATTTCCAGTTCTTTTAGGATGGAGCTGTTCGTTCTTCTTGCCGTCCAAGCGATCCGCAACATCCTACGGTAGCACGTTATCTCAAAAGCCTCTATTCGTCTGCGGCCTGTTTCGTTTATTGTTCATGACTCCGATTCGTAGCTAGCGATGAGGAAGACCAAAGCCCAGACTAATCTCTTTTTTGTTTCCTTGTTCACATGATGATCTTTTCATACACTGGTTAGACTGGAGAGTGCGGTTTTCGCCATGCCAATTCTTCTCTTAATCTCTCCTACACAGTTTCCTTTATTAGAGATTCGAACGCCAAGGTAGGTCAGCTCGTCCTTTCCAGGAACCGATTAGGTTAGCACTTTCTGCCTGTCCACCGTCATCAGGCAGCATTTTGACCGGTTCAGTTTTAGTCCGGCCTCTTCACTATACCTCTCAACGCGTTGAAGTAGTTCCGCCATTTCTTCTTCTGTAGTTGCTAGAAGTGTTGTGTCATCAGCGTAGCGGAGATTTGATATTTTCCTGCCACCCACAGATACTCTCCCGTTCCAATCCGTCATGGCCCTTCTCATGATCCATTCCCCATAGATATTAAATAGGAGTGGTGACAAGACGCATTCCTGTCTAACCTCTTTCCTAACCCGGAATGCCTCGGATACCTCTCCTTCAATTTTAATATAAGCCTTGTTATGTACATAGAGTGATTTTATGAATTGTATCAAGTAACCAGGTACTGCCATTTCTCCTGGTACTCTCCACAGGTGACTCCAATTAACGTTATCAAAGGCCTTGGAGTAGTCCAAAATACTCGTAGCATTTCTCTATCGTCTGTTTTACATTTATTATTTGGTCTCTTGTGCCTTTTCCAGGTACAAACCCGGCTTGTTCTGGCAATATCTGTGGCAAGAAATATGGTTTTAGTCTCTCTTGTATAATATACAGCATCACCTTGCTGGCATGATTTATTAATGATGGTTCTGTAGTTCGAACGTTTCTG